TTTAATATATTTTGGTCGGTATTTAAATACAATTACGGCCGTGTACTGTTTGCCCGAGAAGAATTTACTTAATGATATATGAGTCCTGCGGGACGAGACGGGACAGATGTAATGAAAATATTTCGTTTGTTGTTGTTGTCCTGATTAGTTCGCGCAAACGTTTGGGAGTTAAAATTCCGGAACATTCCGTACTTGAATTTTGATGTAACCGAAAGGACAAAGGAAAAGTTTTGCCTGTGACTGATATTTCTGACACTGGTATTTTAACTTCGGAAAACATTTTTGGGATTATAAAACTTAACCTTCATATTTATATGAGGAATACAAAAATACCTAACGAGGGGTACAAAATGGATATCCCTTTTTGTCCTGTTTGGAAATTAGGTGAAACATCATAATTTTTAACCTTTCTTACAATAGTATAATATACTCCAATTCCGATTAAATTCCGAGATTACGGCTATCCAAGTTACAAGAAACATTTCTCACTTTTTCCGCGAAAGAATTTAAAAAAAAAGGTTCATCTTAACGAGCCCAAGAAACATTTTTAAATCATTGTTAACCTATGTCAGGACGGCCTAAGACTAAGGTCATTTAGATAACGGTATTAAAATAATTGCTGGAAATTAAGAGCAACGTTGCCGTTTATACGAAAAAATACCATCTCACATTTTAAATTACTTAACATAAAATTAGGAACACTTTTACATAAATTTCTAAAGTGAAATATAAGTTACATCAAAAACATGCTTTTTGTACCAAAAAATAATCACAATAAACATTCATCAATCTCCCCGATTAATAGTAAACATTTTCGACATTATTATTTTCTTGTTTGCATGCACCAAGAAACATATGAAGCCAAGTTTCCGTCAACATGTAATTTAGGTATAAAAATACTCCGAACCGGTAGAGTTGGCAACGTTTAGGATGCGACACAGGTGCGTTCCAGGTATCTCACAAGAAATGCCTTTTTATATTTTACATTACAACCGGCCTACAAATTAAACGTTCTCATGCCAGTTGATAAATCTAATCGTATTAGGATAAGAATGTGAGATCGAATAATATATGGATGGTTGATTTTTTCCCTGCATCGTAGACAGAGCGAGGTAACTGGAAGAGGTATACGTATATGCAGATGTCATGCACGCTTGCCCAGAAAACGGATTTAGATGTAAAATAACTTTAGATCCACGAATAGTAGGTGCTTGTAGCTTCGGCTTTAATTTTATTGTGTCATTAGTAATAGTCATTGTTAATTACTTCTACTCGACGATTTCTTTGCGATGGTCTCGAGACGGAGATGCTCTGAGGAACGACATCCAACAAGTTTTAAAAGTACTTGACCCGTCGGATATGTCGGCTGTTAAGTGTTACACGGTACGATTCCAGCGACACGCGTCATAAATTTTTTCCGAAAACTCAACACCCATAACAAATTACTTCTAAATAATAACAATGGACTCTGAGTTCTGTTTTATTGCACGCGTTTTAAGGATTTCAATGCATGCAAAGTGAGTTTGATTTCGAGGTAACCGGTGAGTTTGGCGGTACGATGCATTCATATGCTCTAAGGTGTCAAGGAAATTATTTATCTATTCTGTCATCGCTGCAGATGTCTTATTTTTGGTTCTTCAAAGTTTTTTTTGAGAAATTATTTTTAAATCATTCATAATGAGGTGATAATAGAATGAACGACACCCCAATAAATCTAAGAAAGCACATAGGAAACCAAATGTTCTTGGTCCTTCCGGCAGACCACCTAAGAATTTATGTTGTATATTTACACCAAAGACACAAATCAAACTTAAAAGCTTCTAAAGTTTAAAGAGTCTACCATGACAAATCTTCAACATCGTTTGTCACGTTTATATGTATCATTACATAAATTACCAATTCTCTTAGGCCGCATAGCGTATGTAGGTAATTTGTTAATGCGCACTTATGTCCAAAGGAAAGTGCCACATTAAAAGCGCTGACAGCGAATGAGTGAAATATAAAATTCCTGCGACGAAAAAGCTTTCAAACTGGAAAAGAGAAATTTTCCTCTAGCACTGCTGTGATATTTTGATGTTGTTGATTTTTTTTGTTCTTGCTATTATAGTGGACGGTGCGAATGTCTGCCTCAGTATACATATAGATATTGAAATGTCCGAGACAGAGCCATAACCTAAAACATAACTGCGACTCGGTGTCACCCGCATGCTTTTAACCATAAAACATCGCCCAAATCGCCAAATACAACTCCACTATAAAATCTGAATAATTGCGCGTTTTATTTTTCCCTTAAATCTGTTTAATGCACAATATTTTCACCCCCACTCAATATAATCTAATCATATAATGCATTGTTATTTGAAAAGGTTCCTAACAATTTCACGTTTAATGTACTCTGCTTGTTTTTTTAAATATGTCATTTTTTATGTTACCTATTATAATATAAATACATCATAATTAATTGAGCACAGAACAATCAACTGTATATTTTACATTTCCCAGTAAACCTATTTCAATATTTATTTATTCACGTCTGTTAATTTACATAAGAGTTTCATTAAATTAAAATCAATGTATTAATACATTACGCTCGTATGTATACGTATACTTATTTCTCGTAATTACTAAATATGTAATTAGTTTAATACCATTAATTAAATAAATTCCCTTCCATCCCGACATTTATTGATCGACCTTTCCCCTTGCCTTCCAACGCCGGTGTATACATCATGAAATCATAATAATAATTAATTAGAGATTCCCTACAAATAAATTCCCTGACAGGTATTCGAGAGTGTACTTACATTTTACTAATTACAGGTCGCTCTTATAATAAGGACGAGATGTAGCTAGTTGACAGCGGCGGTTCCAAACATTTCTATAAAAAAAATAGTATAAAAAATTACACAGTGAATACCAACGACATATCCCTTAAAAATCTACATATCTGGGAACAGGATATACAAGAAACGAAATATTCATTAACATTTTATGGCACTTTTACTCTGCTTTATCTAACTATAAAAAGACGAGACTTCGTGCATTTTATTTCTACACTTCCGAGGTATTTCAACAAATCGAAATTAGAAAACTTTTTACTGCTTACAATTTGACTGTGAAATACGCTCTTTTCTGAACTGCAAATGTAGTTCCGTCAGAAAAAAATTTAAATTTTGAATTTTCAAAAAAATTAGTCCAATGTTTTTAATATTCCTAGAAGGTGAGTACAAAAATCAGAAACGTATGTGCAGTCGATTAAAGACGGTTTCAGATCCGAGACTGAAAGGGGAACAGGTGGTTCGTGAGTAAAAAGGAAGGTTAAAACTCGGTTAAGGGAGAAATGAGGCCGTTTCTTATCCGATACGACCGTTCGGTTAATAAAGCGAGAATTAATCGAAAAACGTGTATTAGAACCGACGACGATTCTTCGCCTTTTTTATCGGGTCAACGTTTTATTTGGTCGAGTCAGAGGTTTTTAAAAGCTCGGGAGGTGCGAAGAATATTGTTTCTATCTTTATTTCATTAAAAATATACCTAAAGCTGCGGTTTTCGCCACGTAAAGCTCTATCTGACAACAATTTAAAAATTTACCATTTTTAACTTTTATATAACACAATTTAATCGGTATTTAATAAATATTTTATAAATGTTGTACAAATAAGTTATGCACTTTATTAATTAACTAAACAATTTGAATAATACATAATTAGAATAATAACGTAAAAACAACATTAGTTCTGGATACCTGGAGTTTAATTTGTGTTAAATTTATAATAGCCTTTTAAAATTAGTAGTCCATAAATGTATCTAATTCGCGTTCATATAAAGACGGAATTTCATAAATTACTTTTTGATTAGGTGAAAATTAATTTTGGGGCTCTTTTATCTAATTTTAATTATAATTTTTGTAATTATCAAAAATGAACACATTATTAGATGACTTAATGAATGCTAACGGAAACCAACGTATTTTGTAGATACTTTGGGCTATACGTATGTATAAAAGATTTTTTTCTTCCAAAAATTGTATCTACCTAAATAAAAGTTATAACCCCTTAAAAGGATCTAAAGAAATATTTTATCCCATGCACAATATCTACCCAGGTAAGTACTTACCCAAAGAAAAATTCAGATGGTATTCAAGTGTTGTCCAAATAAAGAAGAACCATTAGTGAATTCATATACGTAATAGGACCCGATTGTGTAAAGGTTCCTTTCTCTATTATATTTTTTGGATAATCGTTCTGTTGGTTTACCGTCTATTCTCTGTTTTTAACAATCATTCTTTATAATAAATCTAGTTGAAATATCCAGTTTCTAGGCAAACGTAATTATATAATTTGTATAATTTCCCATTTAACTTTCAACAGAAGGTGCTAACGATTAGCATAATAACGAAAAGTTTATTAATTTAAATTATCTTCCATAAACTCCCACTTCACGTCTGTTTCTATTTATCTGAAATTAACGCAAACATCAATTTGACCATATTATATTTTGATATACAATTATGTGGTATTCCAATAATAAAACGAATGTCGCCGAGTGGGAGGTCTGTTCCTACATCCGCATTGGTTTGATAATGCAAGATATACCGTTACTAGACAATAATATAGACGCATTTCGAGTTAACTATGACATGTACCGTATTGGTCGTGGGACGAACAAGATACTGGTCAGCTCAAGAATTAAAGTAAATAAAACAAAGAGTTGTATAACAGCATACCAATAACAATAAATTAGCTCACGTCGTCGTAATTAACAATATTACAAGTATGTAAAGAGATGTTTGTCAGTTCACATATCTTTCGAAAAAGTTATTTTTTTTGTAGATCCACCGTGACTTTCAAACGCGATGAATCAACAAAAATTCGCCAAAAATTAGGGAAACGCAAACACTCGATACCTGAAGGTAACCGATGATTCCTCGAGCAGCTACTGTGATCCCTTTATTTGGCATTGAGTAATGGAGCCGGCAATTCCCTTGCACGCCAAAGCAAATGAATCCCTCGAAGGTATATTTTTTTAACTGCACTCAAACTGCGGACGACAACGACGCGCTCACAGAACCACCATCCGGCAACGTCGCTCTTATGCGGCAGGTAGAAAAAATCGTCCGATCGTCGAAGATATTATCATCATCATATACCCAGAAGGCACAAATGTGCCAAATAAAAGTCCCTTAGTGGGTTATACGAATTTCTGAAATTATTTATGACGGTGGCCGATGGCATGATGAGCAAATATATCTACTTTTTTACTACTAAAATTCTTTACATCTTTAACTATGTAGAAACGGTATATTTTTTTAATCCCTATAGGTAAATTAGAAGAGGCAGTTTATTCAATTTCAATAACATTGCTCAACCATTGAAGAAGCAATAAAATCTATATGTACTAGTATTTCTAAATTTTATTAGTACTCGACGATAAATATTTTAAAGTAATCCGCAAACTTCCGGTACCACAATAACAGAGCTTCTGGTCAACAACAATAAAATTAAGCTCCTGATATGGTAGGTGTCGATAACAAAACAAGTACATTAAATTTTTTGCAGCAATCAATACTGTCAATAACTTAACTATAAATCCGTTGGCAATTCGCAATTTATTAAGTAATGAAGGTATACCGGCGTGTGAGACGATGTTAGTTGCATCTCTAGGTGTCTAAGCGGTACGAACCGGACGAAGATAGTCCTCCAAGCGAGTGCACGTTGGTACCGAGATGCAGAAAGAAAACCAACAAACCGGTTGGAGGTCGGTGTTGTTGGAGCGACAAAGACGAATGTAATCGTAAAGAAAGACGGCCTGCCAAAGGACGGAGAAGAGACACAATACCCACGTGGGAGTGCATGGGACAGGATGGATGAAAAGAAGCGGTTTCGATCAATTCCGCTTGATTTGTTTCCAGTTAATCATTCTAACGCATTAATAGAGTATTTATGTTGTAAGCATAGTTTTTTGAATTTTATGAAAACATATGTTTAAGTTAGAATTAGAGAGCACATAAAGTATTAGAGTATTCTACAGTAGCTGAATAAGGGGAGGAATTGATGAATGTCTCTTCGGCGAGCACACACCTTTGCCGATATAGGTCTTTACGTTGGAATGTGGCTGGTTTTCCTAAAGTTGCGAATCGAACACGTAAAGATGCGACGATTATCCGCGACACACAAAAATTCTACGAGAACAACAAACAATACGGACAACAAGCGCGTTTTGTCAACGCTCTTGTAAGTACTCGGGGTCACGACGGAGGTATCGACTAAAATCAATTAGGTACTAATTCCACTATAGCGAATTTTAATAATCTCGAAAGAGCCCTTATAAAGAGCGCACGGCCCGACTAATGAAAAACGCGTTTAGTTTTCAGATCTCAAAATAGACTTAATTGGCCATTAGGCTCGAAAAGTACCCAACAAAAAAGAGATTAGTCACGAGTTCGGTACACTATTAAATTACAACCAGATCCACGGACTCCGAAAGTCGTCCGTACGTTCTCGAATAGTCCCTTATTAAAAATTCCACACAAAAAGAAACAGCGTGTAGCCAATTAAGGGAGTAAATGCATTCAAAGCGACTGTCATTTCGAACATTGACGAGTCTGAGAAACGCTGCTCAAATTCTTGGGGTGGGCATTTTTTTTCGATCTCCACTTATGGTTTTGTTGGTAAATCCCGAAATGCTTGCGGGTGGGATCCATCTGTTTTATATAGATACAATTTTGATTTGTTTATTTTCTAGTAGATAGGTACCTACATACATTTAATTTTTTTGGACAATTACTCTACATAAACTTAAAATCGTATATGAAAGCCTATAAATCCTTGGTTCGTAGTACATACGAGAACCTAATTTAATTTTCCTTTACTAATGTATTTTAAGTCAATATAAGTTAATTTAGATTCGTGTTAAAAGTGAGTCCTTTAAGGAATATGGCAGAAAAATTTATTAGAATGTGGGAGAGCATAAATTGTAGAGAAATCACTTTTCGGTATTAAGTGGTGTTTTGAATAAATAGCGCATAAGTCCTGAATTTTTTTAGAGGGGATCAAAGTTTTTTAAGATCTGTTAAAGGGATATTGGAGTTCGACTCTGCGCTCGAGGCGGAACAATTCGTTAAAGTGGCGTTAAATGATATGATTGTTTCTTAAAAAAGAGGAGAATCAGTTAGGAACAGAACGGGAAAGCCCCGAGGATGGATTTTTATTGTCAAAACAAAACATTTAATTATGTTTTGTGCTCTGCAATGAAATTAGTTTTTGTGTTTAAGCGTTTACGAGGAATTAATTACTGTCTTAATTGATTTTCTTGTAGCTTAGTTTAATTTGTCCCTTGAGGCCGTAATGTTGGTGTTTTCTTTTCGTTTTTCGCTCGCCGCTTCGAGTCTTTAACTCTCTATTATTTCAATTCTCCGTAAAATTATTAACTCTCCTATAGGTGCTCTTAAATACAAAAAATACGTTATTTGCATAATAAACTGTTATTACTTCATTATAACTCGGAGTATCCTAAAAAATAAACGCTAAAGAAATTTAAATAAAAAGTAGTATTACATATACCTACTAAGTATAATCCTACTAAAATTGCTAAAAAATATATTTCCGTTTTACCCAGGTTTTATTTTAAAACTTTGACGATTGTACCTAATTGAACGAAAAACTCGATCTATTGCCGAGAGGTAAGCGTGTGCAAATAAGTTTAAGATGCAAATGCAAATTACAACCCTTCTATAAAGTCTCGAGCGCGATGCAACAACATGTTGAAACAAAGAAATTACGTAATAACAGGAATACAACGAAAACCGCTCGACATAAAAACGGACGAGATATCGAGCAAGGAGGAATAAAAAGCAGTAATTTCGAAATTACAAATTTAATTCATCTGCAATTCTGCAACAACAGTGTGTTCGGAAATTAGGATTGTTACAGTATAATGTAGCGGAGTATTCCTGCGCGTTTTCCTGCATTTTCCTGAATAAAAATCGCCGTAATGAAGGGGAATTATATTTGCCCCGGTATTACGAACTGCCAGCCGAAGTCGGTTGTATCTTTCTGTTTTTTAATCAAGAACTTACGAGAAAATTGGTATAATATTAGCTCTGTTTTTGATTATATTAATATGGAAATGAGCATTCATTCACTTTGATTTAGGTATTTCATTCATTGTTACGAGTTTGCTTATATCAGAAATATCTAATAATAAATCTGAAATTTATATATCTCTAATATTCTTGTATTTAAAGAATAATAACGGCATTACAAACAAAATTATCTTCAAATCAATTAAGTTGAGGAATATGTGACCTACGTACAAAGTAATCCTAACGAACGTGCAATAAATATTCGCTATGATTTCGGTGCCGCTACTGTTTCGTGGATATTGAAAAGCAATTTGTGAGTTGTGGAAGCCAGGTCGCTAACAAGAGGAACGCTCGGTCCCGTAGGGCGACTTAAAGACCGGAGGGGCGAGAGAAATGGCATTGCACAAAGGTACAGAGAACCATCGTGGACCAAAGCGAGCTGTACGTAACGGAAATCCGCATTTGAAATTCATTCGAAAAAGTCATGTATATTCAAAGGTAATTAGATTACTAATGACACAACTTTATGACAACACCTGATTCATGAAGTTGAACTTAAAAGTTTATCGAATACATCTAGTGCGTAACTCACATAGTATAGATTTTTCCATCAACGCCGAACTCATTAAGATACAAATTAAATCTGAGAAAAAGAACGTTTTTAACATCGATTCCAACCTAATCTTCGGTCGGTAGGGATTCCAATAAATAGTCTTCATTAAACTGTACATTCTTGAACGGATCCCAACAAAAGGCTCCAATTAAATCGCATTTATCAACGTCAATCACACGAAAGGAAAAAAACCCATTCTATCAGCTGTTGCTTCAAATAAAGACTAATTGGCGATTTTTTCGTCGACAAAAGTGTTCTTGATTCGGATTGTAATTGTCAAATTGTTGCATATGGAGAGCGTTCATTACTGGGGCGTTTGTTAAGGTTGCTGCTTGTACGCTGCCTTTTCTCCCTTGCGTGGTTTTTGGATTCGAAGGGCTGAAGCACACTTAAATTCCCCAGGTATAAAATTCTCAGGTATAATTCACAAATATCTGGTAAAACTCGGAATGATTTTCAAAGTATAAGATTTTGTTTAATCAAATCCAACAGAGACTGGCCAACTCAAATAGATATACAAAGGTTCTTTTAAACGAAAAGTTTGAGCTTGGTTAAGCGAGATATTGGTTATAAATCGAAACCACGAAAATGAACCCAGAAATGGCGAAACAAAATAACATCCACATCATAAAGATCCATTCCTCGACTGGGGACCAACCAGCAACATCCCCGCGGAAGAATTTGACTATCTTACAGTCGAAAAAATAAAAATATTTTTCTTTTAGCCATACATACCGGCAATGCGGAGAGACCTTTGTGCTACTTTGTAACGAGGCGTAGCGATAAAACGGTCAAAAGCGACGTTCGCTGATATTTACATACATTTCATCTCTCATTCCGAATCCGCTATCTTACGTATATACGCATTCACGAATTCCCACTGCTTCGGCTGAATGTCTTTGAGCGAAAGTTACAGACAGGACTACCTACTTTAGACTAGATATTTTATTTTTATATGTATCTTACCTATTTTTGCGAAGTTTGAGTTGTCTTATAATCTTATTAAAATAATAAGTACCATAAAGAAATCTGTTCGTACGTGTACCTTAAAATACTTCATCTACGACAATACTGGTTTTAACCATTTCCATTGTAAGTGAGTTAGCTCTCGGGAATACGTATTCAGAAACATCAGGAGGAATCGGTTGATGCTTCAACTTTAGAATGCACTTATGAATAAAAGAGAATGTAGGTATAGTATAAAATTTCGAAGTCCACTTGTTTTCCGATCTAGTCGGCCCGGTCGTCGGGAGAATGCGAATGGCCTGTTCAATTGTTTCGCGTTTCAGGTGTTACCTCAGTCGACGCGACAAGACACGAAGACAGCGGCCTTTTACTTTTTCGGTCTTACGAAACCGCACGCCGCAAGAAGAAAAAAAAATCGTTGAGGATGCCATACGAGATTTTGATAACGGCTCGTTTTCATTAACGAACCGCCGGTGAATTTGCAATTAAGCTTTTCGTCCGATTGGATTTTCCGTATTCTTGCCGAACTAACAGAAAATGTTCCTCCACCTTGGAGCAATCAACCCAATGACGAAACCGTAATGGCAATTTCTGTCGTTGTGTGTGTGTGTAGGGGCACGCGTTCGATCTCGTCACGCAACATCGCACGCACGCACGAGCACGCACAAGCACACGCATATACGTATATCTATACGGAACGGAATGAAGAACGTCATCCAGCTCACGTACGTTAACTACACCGATAATTAGGCACGTCTTCATGTGGATTGTGGATTGTTTATTGGCATAATGTAGCCCAATGGTAACGTATACTGCTAACGTGTACAGGTTGATGCAGGGAATGCCAAATCGCCGTCCCCGAATGCTACCTATTGATGATATTTGGATACCATGGTGGTGAATTTTGATATTGGTCGTCATCGTTAACGTGTTTGGAATCTAGATTCTAGATTACATGTTGGAACATTGGAAAGTCCCTTTATTGATAATAATAACATTAATTAACTCCAACTCCAAATCCCTAATTTTTTGAGCTATCTGCAACATTTATTTATTTACTTACGTTAATTTATGAAATATCTTCCAATCTTTATCGCATGGAGAACACCTAATTGAATCAGAAAAAATTGTACTTAAATGAACGGATTTTGCAAAGAAAATGCATAGTAAAACTTTATTACGCAATTAATATTATTTTATCGACGTTAACAAGCCGAAAATCTAACTTCAATTTTAACAATAATTAATTCGACCTTGTTCGTATCCCTAATTAGCGCCGAATTGATAAATGCCAAAACAGATTGTTGAATACTAAAATAACTAATTAGTTTCGATAATTAAAAATTCAGATATAATGAGGAACTCATTTCGCCCAGTTGTATTTTTGTCGATCAATAAAAAACACCCAATTATAACTCGAAACTAAATTAGTTCGGTATTCAAGTTTAACCGGCGCGTTTAATTAATCAATTAATTATTTACTGAAAAATATCTGCTAATTAAAGGAATAAGTCCGGTCGTGGGACTCTAATTAGATTTGTGCTCAGCTATTTGAATTGCGCAATGATTTTACTCGTAATAATTTCTATTTTTCTCTGTGGCAATTAATCATTTAGTACGTACGCATATTTACAGAAAAAAGGTAGGTAAGAACAATTTCGTTAATTGGCAATTTCGTAGATATACCTAATTATTTCGATTTTTCGAAGATTAGATGGTCATTAGTGGAAATTTACTGTAATTTTTACATACCTACTAATCTTAACAAAAATTACTTTACCTTTTTTACCAGAAATTAGCTTTTTTGACCTAATTTGATTTAAAAAGATATATATGTATAATTCAAATAGGTACATCTATGTACGCCTACAAAAAAAAAACAGAAATTTTGTTAAACATTACCCATTTGGGTAATACTTTAAATTTTTAAAGTATAAACGAAGCTCATTAATGTAAATAACCATTTTAGCTAATTATGCAGAAGCTATTAATAATAATCATTATTATTATTACAAGATTGTTATGAATGTTTATAGAACCTTCACACCGGTTCTCACAGTTATGCACGAACTGTTTATTGTTTATCAAAACGATAACGACAAATTATCGATCACGGTAAAATTTCCGCACCGAAAAATACAAAAATAATGCTCTTTTAGTATTTCGCTCGCTTCGGTAATTCACACAGGAAATAACGTGTACCGGAGAAATAATTATTCCGATATTAGATTATATTTCAACTAGGTGCCAAACCAACTATGTATGTATAAATGATATTCAAATGAAAGAGCTTCGTTTACTTTATCAAGGAGAATTATATTCAAAAGTACAACAGGAAATATTCCGATTAATAAAAGTATTTTTTTAATTATTGTCATTATTGTCCGGGGGTTTTATTTATGTACTTCATAGTTTAGTATTTTTTTCTAACTATTATACATTCAGGCTTTGGAGGATAATCTGCAGGTGCATTCTATGTCCAGCCTATAAGCTTTATTGTGTAGAAATAAACCAACGAAGTAATTAGTGAGTTAATACATTTCGAATTTACAGCGCAACAATTAATGAATTACTCAGGGTCTAATTAACCAATTAAACTTTTGATCGCTTCGGAACTAACATAATATGTGGAAGAAATTTGTATTCAATACCCGTATTGAGGAGTTGTCCCTAATATGCTAATTCTGGTCTACGGTTAAAGCCGCTACGCTTTAAGACAGATTATCGTAATTATGCTTTAATAACCACCTTGGTTGGCTCCGCTGAAATTAATTTCGAAATCGCCTAAAGTGCGCGCGAGACGGGAGGCCAGTACCCGCCGAACGAGGTCTTAAAATATCACTAAGTTGCAGAAATTAAAACTTTTTAAGTTGATTACGAAATTGTTCCATAATGCATCGAAGAGAGTTACAGTTACCTGCACGGAATAATGCAGTTACTGTTTATCCCTAATCGAGCAATGGAAATACCATTCTCATGGCTTATCCCCGTTATCAACCGCATCTTATTTAAATAAACACAATTCGTTATCATAAATTTACAAATAATCTGTTGGTTCTCACGAACAAGTCATTCGTCTAGGTACCTGTTCAGTTCCATGTCGCTAAACACCCACCCACCCATTCATTCATATCGTTCCATGTCCACGGTATGATATCCTTCCACCTGGTCCAGAGAATAATGGTATAATCGTGAGAACAAATACTGTAAATTCACAAACCGTACGTATTTTTGTTATCATCGTTCGTACCTACATTATATTCATCTATCTATAAAGTAGTGCTCTCAAAATAGGTGCTTCTATTAAACGCGAAGTAAGTTCGATTATTTACATCACCGCCAGAAAGTGGAAGTGTCTGTCTGAAACGGCGTAGTTGAAAAATACCGAAATGAAACGGTCGGGTAAACCAGCAAAGAGCGCTCGTTTTCGTATTGACCGCCACGTTTTCCACGAAGAAACACAGAACGTTGCGTATGGAGTACACAGAAATCCATCGGAGTCCTTGAATGGCCGCTTCCCGTCCGAAACCGCCGGCCGGACGCCGCTGTTTCTCTCCCTACACCGCCGACTTTCAGCGTCCCGCCGACGATTCCGTTCCGTTTCAGTCGGTTCCGTCGGTTCGGCGTTCAGTTCAGTCCACGATCGTCGCTCGGCGATTGCAGAACGTCGAACGCAGCACTCAGCCCGTCGAAGCTACGAGAGTACGTTCCGTTCCTAAAACGTTGAAAACGTGTTTTCGGCCCGATTGCTATCTCGATCTCGGGCCGCCAGCTCGTTGCTTCTTTTGTGCTTCGAATTATCCCGAAAGTGCTAATCGTTGGTAATCTTCGTGTTATTTCTGGTGTTTTAGTTTTTCTGTTTGTTTTTATTTTGTGTTACTCGACAAGTGCGTGTTATGGTTGCGTTGTTTGAAAATGGATTACGAGGATTTTTCTTGAGAAGGTACTCATTTTTCGATGTAACTGCAGCTTGTACCATTTGTAACAATTAAACTCCTGTTCCTCTAAATTGTCATTATCCTTAATTTCCTTTTAGGTACATCAGCCTTAAATCCATGTGATTTTGGTTCTTCCAGTCCAAATTACACAATCAGCACATTTGTCTTAACATTATTACGTATTTTAGTGTAGAATTTGGAGTAGTATCCTTTATCTTCTCCTTATGTACAAATTTGTTTACACGATTCCTAGTATCAAGTGTTTGTAACTGAACGCTCGTGTCGTGGATATAGTACTAATCTACTTCATTTGTGAAGTGAATTTACCATCATAATTCCTAATTCTTACGTTATTTTCGCTTCGAGTTATTTATTTTTGAGAGTACACTATAAGTAAGTGGGTAAACGTGCTTGATAAGATTGAGAGTATTGAAACAAATTTTCAATAATGGTATGAGTATTTTATAGATGGTTCCTGTATAATTTTGGAATCCATCATTTTCCAATACATAAATGCGAAATATCTGCGAAATTACTAAATTTTGATGAAGGATATTAACACTGATGACTAGGATTTTATTGTTTACATTCATTGTCGTACAAGATTATGGTTTTTATACATATTGATAAGTAAAACCAATTGAAGATAAGAAATTACCTATCCAATCAGACAAATACGTTACCTAAAATGTTGTGATTTCGTCCTCCCTCTCAGGTTCATTCAAAAGACATTTAATAATTTAGAAAAATATCCTACAAGATTATATGTACCTACATAACAAGGCTAAAATATAGGTAATAAAAGTTACATACACGGAACTTCGTTTGTGCCATTGGCGGAAATGTAATATGAATAAGCACTATTACTTAAATACCTACATACATATAATTTATTTTATTATCAGTGCTATTATAAACGCCACTATATTCCTTTTACGTAATATGATAATTCAGAAATCGAGACAAAAACTATTAAATGATTAATTTATTATTTCGTAAACGACGTAAAATGTAATCCCTTTTAAGATAAATACTTACCTTTATATGGAATTTTTAGCATTAAAACGTATACAACCTAAGGTTAAGACAATGCCTGTTTAAAGATCATTCTCACAATCGGCAATAAAATAAAATCAGATTATTTTCCTAAAACGAGTAATAAGCCATAAAATTAAATATCTGTTAATTTAAGAAACAATTTTAAGGTTGTTAGAATTATTGCGTAGGCACCTAATGTGGAACACACAAGTCGAAGTATAAAATTACAGGGCATAAGTTTGGGAAATTATAATTTCATAAATCAATGGACACTATTTTTACTTCACAATACAACCATTGCTTACTAATAAAAAAAATCGAATTAAGACATAATAAAGACTGATTATTTTTCAATTAAGCACAATTTTACCACAAAAATTGGAGTAAAGCATACTGAAATAAAGTTAGCGAGGCCCTTTCTTCTTACTCAATTATCTATATCTTATCTAGGGTATTTGTAGATTTAAGATCAACTTTTTGGTTTGTTTATATAGGTTTTGAAAGTATACTTTGTCGGATAAGAAGGTAAAAAAGGTAAAATTGTATTACCTGATATATGTTACGTGTTATTGATTTTGATACACTCTTTGCATTCCGATTAGATTGTACGGATTTTATCCCCCGCTTTAAAAAGTGCCGATGTAAAGCTTTTCAAGATAGAATGCAACGAATTTTAAATTCGCGTTAGAAAATTGGTAGAATTTTTTATTTCGCTTGAAAATGTAGCAGAAAGTAAATGAAGGTTAAAATTATTCAAGTTTAAAGGTTTTGGTAATTATTACTTAAAATTTTAATTTTATACAAGTTACATGGAATTTCAGTAAATTTATGGTCGTCGATAATTTGATAAGATTATGAGAATTCGAATTCTCTTAATATCCACCTATTAGGATAATTTTTGCTCGATATTTTTAACTTCCCAGATGTAAAAAGCGGACTGTTTGTGTTGACATTCCCCTTACCGTATACATATGAAATCGTGTTTGAACTTATCGTAAGGATCAATTTCCCATTCATACTATTTTAATTAAAGATAAACAGATTATTTGCTGCAGGAAATTTAAATGAGTCATATACGGCGAATTAATATGTATAATATTAATTAGTTCCAAATGTGTTCGCTTCCATTGTTACCTTATATTTGCTTATAGAAATTGTAACAATGTTTAACCGGAAATTCTCTTTTGAATCTAGTTTTCCAGCATTAGCTGCTTATTTGAGCTTTAAATTATTAATGTATTAGAGATTTTGTTATAATAAAATTCCTAAAAGGGAAAAAAGTCTTCACATCAAGGGTACATGAAGTGTATAATAATACTACTTAATGTAATCCACAATAGCTATTAGAAAATGTGCACCGTTCTATTTTGCATTTGTAACCGTGGGTTAATTCTTGTAGCGAAATTTTAATTTCCATGTTACCAGTGCAACAAAAAAAGATATATCACCCATCGATTGACGGTTACATTCAATTGCAACTATTAAATTGATAAATGGCTTCGAAGGTAATGATGAATTGTACTTTTATTTAAATGACTAGCGATGCGAACACTTTATTTGTTAGTATAATGTTGATAAATAGTTTAAGCACGATAAAGGCATAAGCGCATACTTCACTCGTATAATTTTTTCAACGACGTGAATATTATGTGCGCTGATATCTATGTATCTACTTAAGGAAGTAAGGCACTAAATAAAAACTCAGAAACGTCTTTAGATGTAGTGAAGGTGGTGTGGTTAGTTTTATGATTATTTACTGATGGTAAACAAATTATTCGGTAAATTCATAAGTAGCTTGGTAAGTACTATCAGTATACCGTGCCGGAAGTTTATCATAGTGATAAAATTAAAAAAAATATATTAACAGAACATGTAAGTATAGAAGATCGCTGATAAAATTGACAAGCGTCTCGACAAGCGCAGTATTTTACAGTAGGTAAGTATGTTTAGATAATTTCAAGATTAATTTACTTATTTACTTAAAATGGTTTTTATCTATTATATTTCAGTTATAATGTTCAACTTATAGAACAGTTATATTCCAGTGAATACTTACCGCAGATTATAAGTAGCTTGTGTAAATGTTTAATAAAATAAATGTATAAAAGTATTAAAAGCCTATTACTTCGAATCGTAAGTCCAAGTAAATTAATTGCAGCTAAAACAACTGTGTAAAAGATAACCCTAACAAATTTCGACCCCCAGCTGTCGGTCGCCGCCGTTAAACATTGAATAGACTACATCTGGCTACAAATTAAATTAGAATAATATATATCCATAAAACTATGTCCTTTTTATGAGATAGGGCACGGATAACCGGTTCTAAAAATTGGATTACGCTTTTAAGTTGTAAATCAAGAAGTTTTATTAGGATAGCGCTTCCATCGGCTGATAAAAATTAACCGAGCTTTTCGCAATACAAATTAGATTTTTGTAAGTGGACTGTGTTTTAATTAATACCACTGAAATTAAACATAAATAAATAAAACATAAAAGTGTTGTTTAGTATTATACATAGTAGACAAATATGAAAAATGTCGATAATAGACAAATTCGAAAGAGTACTAAGTAAAGAAGCTAAATATTAAAGGGAAGAAATGATGCACGGTAAAAGAGAAAGTATGGAAGCGTTAAAGTATGGAACCGTTAATTAAAAATATTAGAAATATTGATATCATGTGTCAAAAAGATTAAAATTACCTTGCATAACGCAAATTAAACCAATTCATATTAACATTTTCGCAATGCAATCGGAAACACTCTGAATACTGTCAACAAAACGCGTCATCCAAACAAGCACATTATCGTCTTCCTTTCCGTCTTGCGCCTGTTATGTCTAGCATTCACTGTACTTTCATATTCCTTCGAAATTAATTCTCAGAACCAATAAAAGCCGGCGGGCGCTGGCACGGCTCGCAACTCATCATGACACTAATTAAAATAACTCGAATTAATTTCCCTTTTCTGTCAGAAACGGTCCGGATTATTGGACGAAGATGGCACGCATAACGCAAGACGAAGAGGATCGGGATAGTCGATGAGCCGATATAATTGCCGGTAATTCCTTTAATTGCTTATTTTATAAGTTGCGCTAAGACAATATTTTTTAATTGCCCCGCATTTGCAGCGAGATTCCTTTTTGTAATAGATTACTGGCGAATTCGCCGTCGCCATCACGTAATTGATTTCCTCATTGTTTATTTCTGGTATTAAATTGTCTTTAAGTATTTTTATGGAAGTAATTTTTTACGCAGTCCATGCTATTTTATTGAAAGTTCTAAAAAAGGAAGATGAGGATGTGTGTCAATTTAAATAAAATGCCATTGTTTGCAATGATACCGATCATATTCATTTGGTTCGTCTTTCAATGACTATTCCAGTTTTAAACTTCTTTACAGTAATAGCTAAAACCACGAACAGCTTGCAAGAAATGCTACTTCATCCAACAATTTTCTCATCTGCATTCGAAAATATTACCTGTCTTCTCTTTACCTGTTCGAGAAAGTGAAACCCTCAATTACTTAACATTACCTCTTATTTTTCAGAAAAACTCGACTTAATAACAGCCTGTCCTACTTTATTCGCCGATACCTTTGTTTCCTATCCGACGACGCCTTATCTTGCATTCGGTCCGTAGACAAGGGGCGGGAAAGTGGCTATTTGAGTGCCGCCGCAAACGAAACAAAAGTAACCATTTAGTACTGATAATTAAATGAAAACAACAACAAGAAATGGCAATCTGCGCTTCGGATCTGAGATGTTAACCGATATATTTTAAATTACTGGTTTGTAACCGATGCTACGGTTTTTTCCTTTGTTCTTCGGCTATCTTTTCATCTAGAATGCGGGCCCTAATATTTATGCCCAATGTTACGGTTTCTTTGTAATACCTCAATTCTTTAATAAGTAGGTATATTAGAATGATTTTGTTCCCAATATTATTATTACATACTTATCCCGTTAAGATATAGGGTTTAGAACTCATTGATATTCATTTGTGGGTTTTTGTCCATAGTTTTTTTTTGTTCTTTTAGCGGTTCATAAAACGCATTCGCCTATTGATGAAATTCATCGAGCGATTTTAGAATATAGTAGTTTCTATTTCGGTGTGTGCATCGAAACCGCCGCCGTCCCACTTTTATGCAATGTAATGCAATCTTCAATTTCCGCAATTTTACCAATAGCCGAATGAAAAGAGATTACATTAGAATTTGTAATTTCGAGCAATTGCGACGTCTCGGACGAGTAAAGTTCCTTCTCGAGGAACGGGAAGGCGTTTAAATGCGACAAAATTGAGTGGATTTTATTTTTCTTCAGTATCCATCAATATTACGATCAGCACTTTAGGGCTCCCTGGCTTCGGAGACGACCCTGTGTCGCAATTAAAAAAAATCGTCAATAAAAAACACAACGCCTTGCGGGTTGGAAAATTTCCGCCCCCGAAATATTACCCAATTAAACTGGCCAATCTCAACCCCTTGATACCAATATCCAATTTTCTATTTCAATCGATCAAAACCAACTTTAAAAAGCAATTACCACCCCCCTTTCCTAACGTAATTACGTTTCCCTTCTGCGAAAAAATCGCCCCACTTGATAAAATAATCACCTCGACTTAACAGGGACGTCTCTCATAAACTACCCTATTTAATTCACAATTATTTTCGAGCTACCAAATTGTTATAAACTCACACAAATTCAAATTATCACCAAAATTACGCATTTTGTCAAATATTTTGTACTAATAATGCATTAGTGTTGTATAATATTTAATTAGAAATTCCCTGAATCCGTTTCTGCATATCCGTTGTCCTTCTGCCCTTGCTCTTCATCGTCTAGCTAAAGCTCTCCCTCTTCTGCTGCTGCCCCTGTAGTGCGGCTTGATTTGATTGCGACAAGCTATAGCAATATTGCTTATAATAAAATAACGAACAATTTGGGACATTCAATCATACGGAACATATGGATGGGGTGGATTAAGTTTTTGATTTGAATACGAACGTGAGTTCAATCGATGGGTTGCTGCTGGAGGGGCGGTGGGAATGCGGAATATCGTGCGAAAACGGTTGCAGCTTGGGAACGGTAATTAATTTATTGGCTTCCAGTCGAAGGTTTACTTACAGTAATTTTAATTTTATCGATGGCGGTAACTCCAACACATCGGAGTTTAGGCGAAGAAACTTGTTGAAATAATAGTGAAGAAATATGCAGATAATGAACTTGTATACCAACCATTCGATTGCCATTCTAATTGAACCCCTCTGGTTTTATTAAAAACTTACTAAACAATACGCACCAAATAAAGGTCCTGCAAAGGCGAGTTTTTCCTCAACTTATGAATAACTTTATTAACCTTTTCGAAATTGCACAGTAAATAACTTGTGATGGGATTAAATTTTGAGTAATTGCTCCGATTCAAATAACGCGTCTTGAAAAGAAACAGGTTAGAACGTGTGAATAGAGTGACAAGATGTTAACTCCATTGTAAATAAATAAAAACGACAGGGTATTCGAGCTGGTTAGAAAGATAATTGAACGTTTGAAAGTCGAATAATGCCGAACAATTAGGTTTTACTTCAAATATCTAGCTGCTGCTCGTACGGTTTGAATGGTTTTTAATTGGCTTTATTCGCTCTTTTTGTTGTTAATTTAGATGTTTGTATAAGTAGCGATGGGAAAATTTCTCTTCATACTGGTTTAACAATTAATTTGTACCTAATCATCTTGTTACAACTAGGCACTTGTTAGGTATTTGAAAAAATTAATCAATAAATATTTTCTATTTTAAATAACATACTTCGATAAAAATTAATAACAGAAGCTTTTCCGATACATGGGGTGTTAGGTGAGAATGCTTATTTTAACCCCTTTTATCACCACTCGGATTTATCGCATAGTTAACCAAGTGATGGAGTGAAATATGTTCTTGTTGCAGCCAATTTCAGTCCTAAATATCGCCCTAAATACACTTCCAGTAAATTTTACGCTTTTTACCGGCATTTATTTTACATTTATACCATCCGATGCTGATGTTTTATTCTTGTATTGTTCGAACAATTACAGTCGTCAAATCAAACGATGCCTTTATGTATTAGCGCAGAACTATCGGAGACAACCGAGACCGTCGTTATTAAGACAGTTATTATTTACGTTCAGGAAATGATACAGCTACCGAAATGCGTCTAAAAATAACGACGCCCTGTCAAATCGGAATTCGAAAATGTAAGAGAAATAGTTCAGGCGCTATTAAAAGTATAACTAGAAATAAATAGTGAGAAACGGAACAAACACGTGTTTACATTGCGATGGTTGAAATTTTAATTGTACAATTTGTGATACAAACAGCCCATTAAAATCGTAAATTCTATATTCTGAATCCATATCTGATGTTAAGTATAATAATTATTAGATATTATTACCTGTAATTATTAGTAGGTACTTATTTTTCATAGAGAATATCAAAAAATAGTTTTAAGAATGCATACTCAAAGAATCATACAAAAAAGCTACTTGTAATATTCTAGAGCATATTAAAAAGGTGTTTTACCCGTTAATCGAGCAAGTCATACTTAATAAAATTAAAATAAATTGATGAGAAAAATGTCCTTCGAGGCTCCAGACTATTAGTAATCATCCGGAATTAGATCCATCTCCCAAAAAATACGCCACTAATTAACAAAGTTCATATTATATTCGAGCTAATTAGGCCGAGAGATGGAGGAGATTGTAGCAATTATTTTGAGATCATTAGGAAATAATTGGTCGAAAACATCCGTGAGTGTAGGATGCGCGGTTATTTTATCAAAATTAAAAACACCTGCCTAATATCGGCGGTGTAATAGACCTCCACCTCGTTATACATTTTTCAATCATACTTTTTTAATTAATGAACTAGTCGAGGGTTCGCGAACGGTGTTTGTGCTTTAAAATTTTTCATTAGAGCTTCTTCGATACGATCCATTTATTTTCAATTCATTGTATTTAAATTACCTAACAGGAGTTTTCCTTTTACTAGTTATCTTAACTGTTCCGACGTTTCTATGTATTTATGTCGTTTATGTGGATATCTAATTATTTCATATATTGTTGTGCTCACAATTTTATTGTATTGTTTCGATTAAGTGCAACAGCAAATAATTACTAAAATAAGTGTTGTTTTTATTGATGTTAGCGTGTAATTTAATTATTATTAGCGAACGTTGGAAATTAAAATACATTGTGGAAACCCGACTAAGCAACGTGGCTTTTGCTAATTAGTGACGTACACATTTTTCGGGAGGTGAATCTAATTTGAGATATCGCTTTTAATTAGAACCCTCATCTGAGGATCACCTTTCACAAGAAAAATATAATTAATTATTTGCGCCGGATTCTCTGGCAGCGGATTTCATTTCGGTGCCTTCAGTTTTAGTTTCAAATTGGATGTTGCCTTGTTTCCTTTAATTAACGAAATTTGTTATTTATGTACTTAGTTATGAATATTTTTTAAATGTCTCGTTCTAAAAATATCATCAACAAGTTTGTTTAATAATGATCCGTTTGAATTATACAGGGATTTTTACAGTATGTTTTTTCCAAGATTTGTCTTTGACTTAAACCTACGTTAGTGTTGAGCTTAATAATTTATAGGCTCTCTATTTGAAATGCACCGTGACTAATATTAAAAATTTATTCAAATAAGTTCATTTGTAATTATTATTTCCTGAGTAATGTAACACCTACTTAATCGCACCTAATTTACTCCGGGCAATAAATTTTAATCAACTCTTTTATTTCTATGCCTACGATTAATAACCTATTATCTTGTTTTTTCGATTTATTTGCCATTGAAAAATAAATTAAAAATATTTAAATATGTATAAGCCGAAATAATTTCCGCTTAAATTAGAGAGCCGGTCGAAATTGCTATACTGGATGGACCAGGCAAACGAAATTCCTCTTTTTTATAACACTTTCTTTATCAAAATTTATATACTAAGTTGGAACATTCTGTAAATTGTACGAGTTTATTCATAAAAATATAATTTATTTTGAATATAAATAGACAATTTGTCATTTGCATATTTAATTAAATAATAAGTCTATATAGATAGGTGGGTTAATACAAACTTTAATTACATTGTCGCACGTGCACCGTATATTTGTTAAGACCAATTTCGTTTTTATACAAATTCAAATCGAGTATAATTAAAGGAATGAATTAATTCACGCGTAGTCCTTTGAAAAAAAAATTCATTTCTAATTTTCGACGGCAAATTAAAACCCGTAAAGATATCGTTTTATTTCCACCTCGTCCGTAAAGAAATCTCCCAGTGGAAAGCACAGTTCGCTTATGATAATTTCGAGATTTTATTAAGATAGTGCGTTCCTTTCCACCTGTAAACTGTTTGAATTAATAATGAGTGTAAATAAAACACGGAAAGTAAATTAAATTTCGAGATAACGAAAGTTACAATATAATTTTTTAATGAGTGGGATGAATAATAGATCTGTATCTGGATCTATTACAACTTCGCCTTCACTGTGGAACAAAGCTATTAAACTATTCCTTTCTTTCTATATGGTTGTAATTTTCAATTGCACCGTACGCCATAACAGCGGCGTACGATTCAAGTTATTCTCTCTAAAGATATAGGTACACTATTTTTAGTGCGAATTTGAAAAAAATACTCCATAAAATCAGTTTTATCTGGTTGTAAAAGTAGTAAAGCTGATGGTAATAATATACTATAATAGAAAGATTTAAGGTAAAAAATAATCTATCAGAAGTAGTAATTTTTCGTTAAACTTGCCGGTAAAAGTCGCTCCAATAATAGTTTTATTTAAAAGATACGACTACACCAGACGGTGCTCGTGATTTAAAATTGCCTGGCGAGAGCGGGCAATCGAAAAAATCCTTGCTCTAACTGAAAATTACACCTCAGTCTGCGAAAATAATTTGAAAAACAGGTCTGCTCCGTTGTGCACCTTTCCCTCGAACGATAAATCATAATCATGCGTCGTAAGATAGAGAATCCACGCCAATTATCTCGCTGGAAATGGTACGTTTTCGAACAATCAGACGGCACTGTTATTGAGTTATATCTATGTATACAGAGGAGAAGTTCGGAATGGGTTTTATTCGATTATGTATTACTTATTGAACTATTAGTGTTCGAAATTAACTTTAAAAGGTAGTACTTATGTAGCGTATTGACGATAGAACACGGAAAGGTTTTATGATGAATGAGGAATATGTTACAAGTGAAAGAAAATGGTAATTTCTTGTAATATTTGGGATATCCTGTTTCGCACCGATTTTCCCGGTATATTGATAAAATGATTAAATTTTAATTGTAAAGACAGTCGGTACTTAACAATAGCATTTAAATTGAACTCGGTAATAATTAAGTCGGATGTACGATTTTTTAAAAGCGCTGTCTGAAAAGCTTGTTGTAGAGTTCGACTCTGTAGGAATATCGCTCAATTGAGTTATAGAGGTATTATTTCTTGTGTTCGTTGGCCATTTTTTTAATTTGACTCGTTGCGAAATGGTATACACTCGCGCGATTTTACGACGAAATTTACGACGAAAGATAACGAAATATACGTATCTTTCTCTATAAATTGGCTTAAATCAATTTATTTTACGAGGAATATACGTAGTGATTTTCATAATTAGAGTCAAGTGGTTGGTGTTTTCTTTTGTTATTTATGATGGTTTTTACGTAGTCTTCAATTAGTTGGCTATGGGTCAACGACTACCTGATTTTGGGACTTTACGATTTTTCCTGGGAACAGTCGTAAACTTGGTTTTAAGAAAAAGTACCTAAATTTGGTAACACCTGTTTCTCTTCTTTAGGTTTCAATATTACTGTTATCGTCACAGTACGTTTTTTCTTCAATGTTAGTTAACCTACTTGGTATTTCTTATAATTGAATTGAATACCTAATTAAAAATCAGAAAACAGCAATTAATACAAACTACAATTTAGGCAGTGCCAATCTCATTAAAATGCCGTATGCGCACTTTGCAACAAAGTTTATAAATGTAGATACTATACAAAGTACAGTTGAAAATTAGCTACGCATTAGGAAGTTTAACCGTATACCTATTGCTCCATAGTACAGATTTGGTCATTAAAATTTCTCAAACGACACTCCACTGAATCAATCCAAATGAGTGGAACTAGCCGATGAATACTTTAACATAAATTATTGCGTCTAATAATAATATAACTGTATGTAAAAAAGTACAAGACCGTTCAGACACATCTCGAGGTGTTCGTGTTCCCGAAGACGCAGGCATTTCTTAAGCACATGCACACGTGCAGGTGTTTGAGTCTTACCTGAAGGTGTATCACAGAAATAACCGAAGAACGCTTTTAGGGATACGAATGATGGATGATTTCATTTACCTATCACGTACAGCAATTATACATTTTTTGAACACGTTTTAATTTCCTTAGGTGTATACTGATATGAAACATTGACGATGCTTTAGTAAGCTATAACACTAACTAATTGGATATTTATTTAAAAAATAAAGCAAGGTGTGTGCTGGTGGATTTATAATGATGAATGATGAATAATATTACAAAGTTTTTAGGTACTAAAATAGTTTTCGTTTTCTTTTCAGTTACACTCGTTGTCACAATAGTTGACACGAACCGGGTGCTCGTCGTTCCAATCTAGTCATCGAATCCCTGATATTTTCGTTCGGAACGTGCGCGCTGCGGCCAGCGCTCCAGCCGTCAAACTGGCAGCCAGCGCTCTCGCCTCCATGAATCCTCACTATCATCCATACGGGGGACCGGAGCTCACCTCTCCGCACCCCCCGTCGCCGGACAACAACAACTATCACGGCCATCCGGGCGCGGGCGGACCGCCGCCCCACGCGAGGATGCACGCCACCAACGGCCATCCCATTGGAACCTTGGGTGAGTAGGTTTTGGTGACTATGATACCATCTTCTCCATCTAGATTCCATCTTCTCCATTCCTTAATAACCATCAGATTATCTATATGAACCAATCCTATCTCCAACAGTTCCCAACTTAATCATCTGAAGAACCATTCTTTAACAACTAGATTATCTATATGAACCAATTGTATCTCCAACTTTTTCATATGAAAAAGACGTCTAGATACCATTTTCTCCATTCCTTTACAACCAGTTCATCTGTTTGAACCAATCCTATCTCAAACATATCCTAATTTCTTTATGTTGAGAAGGAGCCGGACACAATCTTCTTCATTCCTTTAAAACAACTTCCAAAATGTAAATATTTATAGCTACGATGATCTTGTTGCAGGACACGGAGGCGGTCCACACGATCAGCACCAGCACCACGCGCACCACCAACACCCGGCGTTTACCAACGCCGGTCCCCCCTCGGACGGTCCTCACTTGTCCCATCACAACCCCTCCATAACGAACAACAATAACAACAACAATAACAACACAGTGAAAGTTTGCGCGGGTTGCGGTGGTAAAATCGTCGAACGGTTTCTGTTGCACGCCTTGGACCGCTATTGGCACAACAGTTGTCTCAAGTGTTCGTGTTGTGCCGCGATGTTAGCCGATTTGGGCACCTCGTGTTTTACGAAAGGGGGTATGATACTGTGCAAGCAGGATTATATGAGGTAAGTTTATTGTCCTTACTCTATCACATGCAAACCTTTTCCTATGATAATCCATTTACCATCAACATGGATGCGTTTTTTCATTAATTTGGTTACCACAAATATCATGGGATATACAGTAGCTAAAGCATTAATACTCTGAACTGCCCTTTCCTTTGTTGTATACTTATTTGGTCTTTTTAGTACGACTATATACGAATCTAAACGACAAATCCAATTTACGAATCCGGGCTTAGGGACTTAGGTCCGTATTTCATCCTTTTCCTGGTTCCGTATCTCGCACGCTTTTTAATTTGTACCTATCAAAATTCAATTACTTTTATCGGCCATCGACGCTCGTCGTCGCGACGCGACCTGACACCGGCGTGCGTCGCCTAACAAATTGAGTTTTCGGCGAAACAATAATAAATGGTGGCCGTTGACACCGTTCCGGATAATCCGGAGGTGCAATATCCCAAAGTCCGGGAGCCCTCTGGCCGGAGAGCATGGCGAAAAAAAAACGATAAAGTACACTGAAAATAATTTTCCTTGCCATACTGCCACATTGTCTAACAACTTAAAAAAATTAAATTAATCGTACATAAGTATTTTCCATTCGAGACTATACAAAGATGCATTTTGGTAATAAGATTGCAAGAAGTTGAATACACTTGATATTTTGAATATTATTGGTTCCTGTTTTTTGGTACTCATTTATTATTTAATTGATGAATAATTTAATAAAATAAATTCGATAATATTACGTAATATAATAGGAATGCGTGGGTTTTTTTGTACAAGTTTTATCAGTGTGTTGCTATAATTTTGGGACACGGTGGCGTGGTGTCATGTCAAAGAGACGGCTAAATAAACTTTATTAAAGTCACTTCTCTTATGAGTTGGTCCGTCAAGCTTTTATAACCTCTGTACCTTATATTACCTTATTCAGAGGCGTACATTGCAGGACTACATAAATTCTAATGAAATTACAAGGCTCTAAATGGATTTATTTTAAAAAGAAAATTATTATTTTAGTATTATTATTTTCGTATTACACTTTTTATGTTGTAAGTAGTTTATTTCAACATAAATTTTTGCCAATTTTACGTTTGGTGGTTTGAAGGAACGTTTCAAAAAATGATTTCTACCTATTGATATGAGAATAAAATTTCCATACGTGAAGGGAGAATTGTGAAAACTCTATATTCTACATAACAAGCATATTTATAGATTGATAAGGGTTCGAGTTACACAAAAAAAATGGAACAAACCCACTTGTTATTTTAACGTTTTTTTTTCGTAACACCCCTGCTGCTTGCCTAAACCTTCATCGCTGGCGATATATGAAAAAAACCTCCTTGTCATTTGTCTTGTTTAGATTAAGAATATTTGACACGTACATTTTTCCGTCCGTTACTAACATTATTTATTTCTCGTTGTAAATCATATTTAATGGTTTAAATAAGGACGCACACGCATATTATTTATGAATCAGGAAACGAAAATTGGATCGTCAATTTAACTGTAATTATTTAAATCAACGGCGTAGAAATAAATGTAAAACATGTGGATGAGATTTTTTAATATTATTGACATTGGTACAATGCTGTCACCTTCATGAAAAGCTTCTTATATCTTTATGCACGAATACATAATTACAACCTAATTAAACCAATAATTGTCGAATAATTAAGCAGCTAATATCCTTATTTTTTAAACATTATAAGTGATAAGTAAGTCATAAATCTATAAAGTTACATGCGTTATCTCAATGATTGGTTATTGGTTATTGGGTATTGGTAGTTGAAAGTTTTCCCCATTTATCAATTTTAGCAAGTAAATTTTACAAAATTACAAACTCAGTAACAATAACACCAATTAAATAACAAATACACAGCGTATGCAGGAATTCAAACACTCCAATTCGACGGGTATTGGACCAAACAAAACCGACGGTTATTCGGAATTATGCGATTATATTTCAGCTAAACGAACGACTATAAATACCGAATATCTTTCGATTGTATTAACAGAAATTCGTATGAAAACCGCTTGATCCAACGTAACACTACTGTCACATATTTCGAATGAACGAAATTATTTACAAACGGGATTTTAATTTCATATCGGCATTGTCGAGTTCGTTTCGAGTTCGAATGGTATTTATATCGCATGTGGATTTTATTAAATTGCACTTTAAGTTGGTAAAAATGTAGAATGATCCAATAATCGAATTACGCTCACCGTTTCCAAGTGAACATTCTTAATGCTCCAATCGACGATTACCATTCATCAACATTCAAGAGCAAATAAAAAGCGGGAAGAGAACTATGGCAGAAGAAAAACAAGAAAGTGAAGGAAAAAACGCGCGCGAATCAATTTTGATTCAGCCGAGTCTCGAGCGACTCCGCTGGCAAATTTATTCGCCACGAAACGTCGGCTTGCCGCTAGTCGGTTTTACCAAGGGGATGGATTCGCTGTCGTCCGAGAGGGTGGTTAGCGGGATACATATATAATTTGATTCCTCCTATACCTATTCAGTTATTAACCAGTAATTACATATCAACTTTTATTAAACGATAGGAAAATATAGGTAACTACTTCATTTTATAATGGGAAAGAAATACTGTAGGAGTGGTAATAGATATGTTTCTTACGCATTATAATTATTTAAATGTGTACTATTAGATCTGATCTTCTATTTGTAGAAAAAGTTCACTCGAGATTTGGTTATCTTGTTTAGTTTAATGCTTGAGGAAACTTCAACGGGGTATCGCCTTAATAAAGTGGCAATTCAAATTTATAGGGGTGTCTTTGTATAAGTACGTCACTGGTGCAGCAACCGATTGCGTTCTGCGTTAGCCACTAACACCTCTTTGTGACATGGCATTTTCTATTAGATTACCTAATCGTTTCTTTCCCCCAGCAATCATTTCCATCCCCCTTGTTCTTATTTGCTGTCAAATTATGTTCACGTCTGTCATTCAGCGCCGCGTCGGTAGCTGGCACGTGACTCCTTCGCTCGTTTTCTTCTGGTTAACACGGCGGAATTCTTCTCGTTTTTGGTATAGTCGATTCGGCTTATCGGCTGGCAAGTCGCGAAATTGGCGGAGGCGACAGAACGAATGTCAATGTTTTAATAAATGGGTTTTTGCGCTACCTATTGGTTGCTCATTTTTTTATTTTTATTAAAAAATATGTTACATAGTAAATAACTAATTATTTGAATTAAATTCATTAAAAAATACCAAGCAGTAGTTACATACGTATAGGTACTTACTCGTGTTATCAACATAAAATAATTATATTAAAAGCAATGAAATAATTATAAAATTATGCATGCTGAATAATACAAATTACAAACCATATTTCCCGCGAACTGCGCTCGGTTTTTTCGCAAGGTCACATGTCGATAACGTCCCATTCTTTGTCTTAACGAGTTACAATCGGCCGAACAGAACAAGTTTAGTTGAAAATGTAACATACAGTTGGTATTCGTTTAATTAAAGAGAAAAATAAATTGTGATTCATATCTGAGGTCAACCGAACATGTTACCTGGCTCGGGAATAAATTTCACTCCATTTTGCAATAATGCTAATGTCAACAAACGCACAAATATGGCAGTAGTGTAGAAAAATCTTAATAACATATTATGAATCAGTAAACGATCCTGTTAATTTATCACAATTAAACGGAAGTAGCGATAATTCTACTAATAACGTTTTCAAGTGTATCCAACAAAAAATCATTCTGGTTGATAACTCCTTCTATAACTCTTAACCGATAGAGGATAAACTATCGACTAATTTCAGGCTCGGCTATACAACAAATAATTTCAATGTGGTTATCAGGATCTGAATGTCGACGTTATCGCCGTAACTGACCGTCGATTTGCGTGTAATAGCCACTAATAAAACACTGAAAATAAACTTATGGTTTATTATAACGAACAGGAAAAACACGTAGTATAAGAGGTACCGAGAGAAACAATACTAATTATTTTCCACAATACATACTGCAATATAATTACATTATGCTCCTAGTTTTTATTAGTAACCTGTTAGAAAAATGCATTATATTTTTTTATAGGTTAGTAAACGAAATTAAAATACTACATCATTCCTTTGAATCAATAGAAAAAATTGGATGGTGAGAGGGTGGGTGGATACTAGTAGGATTGTTCCGTATATTCCAAACACAATTCTTACAAGAGGTATTTCCTTGTGGTGTATTGCATTGAGTAAATGACTACCTCCGGTACTATTGAGGAATTGTTTGTCAGCGAAGGTAAAAATGGGGAGAAAGGGGGAATGAAGAGGTGATTAGGCCATTTTCGTGGCGTGTGATAATGCATCGATCTGCATTGCGGTCTCTGTTTAGAACCGACCGTCTAATTTATTAGCATAAGTTCTCTATACACGCCGCGACTTGTATCGATCCAAGAGCCCGTGTACAAACCGAACCCTTTTCTCTTAGAGATGGGATAAATTAGGTTTTTAATTGAGCGATCCTTTCCACTGATAAAGGGGTTCCTTTTAATTTTAAATTAGAAACACTATTTACACCATTCGTCGCACTTAATTGTAACCTACTTAATGATATACTTATACCATATATTTTGATTCAGATCTTGCGATAGCCAGAAACAGGAATTCTTAAATATTTCACCTAAGTTCTACATTGTTCGAAAATAACCTTCTAAACTTAGGTCCTCCCCACCTCTATATCCGTATTCGGACCCTCAAACTCAAACTCGTCGGAGGACCTAGCGACTCGGCTCGCCTGAAGGGGGACGAAACCGGTCGAAGAAGGAAGGGAGAAACGCACTACCACGCTCATTATCAATATTTATGCCATTATCTCTCGTGCCATCGAAACGCCGCTCTCTCGGGGACTATTCAAATTTTGAGTAGGCTCTTTATTTCGGGATTTATGTCCTTGGTTCGCGCCTATTGTTTTTCGATAGAGAACTAAGGAGTTTTTGAATTACCGATTGCGTCGAGGGGAGAAAATTCGATTG